ACACTTCGATGACTTGTTTTTGTCCGAGTAAGACTGAAAACCATACAATTAACCATTCAGATAAAATCAAGATACTTATCTGACTTGTTTTCTTGATCAATCACGGCATTTAATCCAGATATGTTAGTTAAAAAACTTCGATTTTCGGAAAAAAATAGCGCTCGACAAGAATACTTTCTCGTCCGCCATTTTGAACTGACCGCCCGCGCTAAATTCAGCGGAAAACCACACTGCGCATCCTCAGTTAATATTTTGAATTAACCAATCACGCGTTTTTAAGCCGTGTCGAACGTATACCCTGCGAGCAGAGGATTTTTTAAAACCCTCTCCCATCTCCCAACGGTCGGGGAGAGGAAAAAACCCTCTGCACTAATCCTGTTGAATTTCGTTTGAGCTCTGGATAATCCGATTTTTAAAAGGCTGTTTTGTAACCGTTTTCGGTGCGCGCGCATGTTTTGGGCTATTGACTTTTTTTTTTTCTTAGTGTCATCACGCAACGTTGGAGAGGGAGCGTTGGGTGACTTCACTAAGAACGGCTGCGGGGAGACTAAGCAAAGCCCCTCAATATTTGATTTTACGAAATCGCCTTAAGCTACTCCAAGGTCAATAGGTCTACCTTGATACTTTTCACATTTGAAACTACTTTTTAATACTCTCGATTTTTCTAGCCACGAAGTATTCCAAGACCCCGTAAGTTGCAAAGATGGTCACACTTTCTGCATTAATTGTATTGAACTGTGGCTGAAGACGAGCAACAATTGTCCACTTGATAATAATGTGATCACTGACAATAAGTTGGTTCGTAACTACGTCGTTAAGGGTATTATRGACAATCTAGAAGTGTACTGTCACTTACCTGAGAAAGATGCAGAGACCAAAAATGATAAACAAGGTTAGTATACGTTGTGAACTTTGATTAGCCTGGAAAACGGTTTCCTTTATTTTGCTTTCACGGCGGCCAGGGATGCAGGGAGTGTCCTTGCATTGCAATAACATATAATTTTGTAATGTTACAATAAAATTCGTAATACTTCATTTTAATTTCTTCTAGAAATGGTTAGCTTTACTTTTTTAAATGGTTTTCTAATGTTAAGAATAGGTCTTTGTAAGACTCAAGCAAAGTGGGAAATGAAATTTCTTGACCACCCTTGAAATTTGGTGTGCGAGTAGGCTACTATATGGGATACACAAAAACAATAACAATTTGGTCACCAAATGTACTGATGCCATCGAAACGGCAAGTGTTTTATGAGACCTTAATTTCCAATTTTTGGAATAAATTAAACCCATTCGTAGGTAAGATTCAATGCTGTGTTTTCTCATACACGTTAAACTTAATTTCCTTTAAACGTTCGTCAATTATAAAGTATCTTTTCTAGTTTATAAAAATACCAATTATTGTTAGTTTGTTATTTTATTGTACATGAAATATTCGTGCCTTCAAGTAACAGATGCATCAACTGTTTCAGCAACAAGCTAAAATGGTCGAAATGTT